TAACAGACAGATAGACAGACAGTCAAAAATTCTAAAAACAATGGATTCGGCCTCTGTATCGTTAATAATGTCTACTTCAATAAGATTTTCCAAAAAATATTTAATGTACAGATTCGGCTTAGTTACAATTTTATTATATGTATAGATTTATGCATACGTTCTGTCACTATCAGTAGCGTCTCGGTAATATTATGCATAACATTACCGTGGTAGCGTTTTTTTTGTATTATTTAAATAAACATAATGTTTGCTTTCAGATAAACAAATGTAGGTGTTAATTCTGGTGCGGAGTGAAGTTGTGAACCTGGAGAGGAACTCTAACTATGAGTTCGTGAACCACGCGGCAGAGCCCGGTGCTACGAAGGAGGACTTAAGGAGTGTGGAAGAATTACAATATTATGAATAATTTTACTGATAAGTGATATATTAAAAATAATTGTAAATTCTATACTAATATTATAAAGGGGCAGAGTTTGTTGTTTGTTTGTTTGAACGCGCTAATTTCAAGAACCACTAATCCGATTTAAAACATTCTTTTTGCATTAGATATCCCATTTATTGAGGAAGGCTATAAGCTATATATATCATCCCGGAAAAATGTACAGTTCCCGTGGGATAAATTCGTGTTTGAGCCCGAAGCGAAGCGAGGCTGAGTTGCTAATCAAATAATATTTTAGAATGTGACATTCGTCTTCTCGAATGTCGTACAATTAAAAGATGTTAGTTAGATAATAGATATTAATAAATCTTTATTTATAAGAATAGACTGCTGTGTACACAATTGTATAGTCAAATTATGTAACAGAAATAATTGTGATGTATTTCTTTAAGTGTCTAATTCTATAAATATTATTTATTATTAAATAATTAAGTACTTTTTTTCGCGCTCGCTTGGGAAGCGGTCCCGGGTCTCGCACCTCTGATATTTTCATGTGCGAATCATTTCTAACATGATTACCACTTGCCTTACGGTGAAGGAAAACATCGTGAGGAAACCTGCATGTCTGAGAAAACCTTGCAAGTTTTCGAAAGACATGTGAAGTCCGCCAATCCGCACTTGGCCAGCGTGGTGGACTATGGCCTGATCCCCTTCGTATGAAGGGAGGCCCGTGCCCAGCAGTGGGACGTTAAAAGGGCTGAATACACAAGTACATTTTTATTAACTATACTAATAAGTGTTTGATCGCTGACTGTCTAGTGTCTGTTCATGGAAGATATTTAATACAAGCTGATAAAGGAGGTCTATACTCTATATTAACGGAACTTGTTATTAATTATTATTGTTAATACTATTATAATGTTAAATGTATTAACCTCACCAAAGGCGAGGCTTCAAAAATATGAAAGACTCATTTGAGTGATCCCCTCCACGGAAATCTTTAGTAAAAGGCGAAAGATTTATACGTGTTGAAGGGAAACCAGAGATGCTCTACACCTACTCGATTCTTCTCACTCACTACGCCCCATGCGGGGGAGGAGTGGGGAAATGGCTTCAGGGCTATGCCCTCTGGCCATGGTATCACTCGTCGCTCATGACTATGAGCGCGTCCTTGGAGAGGCCTCATTAAGGCCTTTTTCTGGTGTTCTTTGTAATCCGTACGGTCGGCCCGGTTTTAGGCGACCATTTGCCGGATTAGCAGTTTTAGCTTCTAGTTGTTAGGCCGTCTCTGGGGAGCGCTCTTCTGTCTGGAGGACGAGTGTGCCATGGGGCGATGCCTCGTATGTGTGTATGTGTGGATGCGTCGGCTCTTTCGAACATTCTTTCTGTCTGGCATCGGATGCATTCGTCCAGGCTCCCGAATCGAAGATCTCGCGTTATTGTCGCGTTTCTTACGAAGCGGGGGGCCTCGGTTGCACGTCGTAGGGCTTTGTTTAGTAGTCTTTGGAGTCTTTTCTTTGATGTATCGCTTGTGAGGGCTATCCATGCTGGAGCGGCATATGTTATGCGCGGCACTATGTATGCCTTGACCAAGTTTATCTTTATTTTGAGCGGCAGTGAGGAGTCGAAAATGGGGCGAAGTTGGCAGATGGTTGCGTTTGTTTTTGCTGCGGTGTTTTTGACGTGTCGATGCATGGTGAGGTTTCTATCTATGGTGACCCCGAGGTATTTAGCGGTCCTTTTCCATTCGGTGTCGTGTCCCTCTAGCTTGAGTTTTGGAATTCTGTTTAGCTGGTATTGGCCTGTGGCTAGGCTTTGCGTTTTTGTGATGTTCACTTTCATACGCCATTTGGCGAGCCAGTCTGGTAGGAGGTCCAAGGACCTTTGGAGTTTGACGGCTGCGTGCTTGGGTCTGATGGAGCTCGTCAGTATAGCTATGTCGTCGGCATACAGCGCGAGGGACGTCGACGGATCGAGCGGAATGTCGTTGGTGTATATTGAATAGAGTGCCGGGGATAGACAGCTTCCCTGTGGCACTCCGGCTTTGATGGCTCTTGGTGTTGAGATTTTTGAGTCCACTCTTACGATGAAGCTTCGGTTTTTCAAAAATGATGCGATGACATGGAGTAGTCTTCGAGGAGTGGCGTTGTTTGCCAGCTTGTAAAGCAGGCCTTCGTGCCACACCCGGTCGAAGGCTTTCTCCATGTCTAGAAAGGCGGCTACTGCTCTACACAGCGCTCTACATACCTACTTACACTTCGACACGACAATCTTGCCGGCGCGATGTAGGATGCATACAATACGGAACAACGCCATCTACTGGCAAGTTATGAAATCATTCTATCATGGTGTTTTACTTCGCGTCACTTATGTAGCAAAATAATGTTAGAATATCCTATAATATTACACTAATATTGTCTTCATTAATTTCTTTGAAAAATTAAATGACTTTATTTTAATACTTTCTTAGATTTACGCGAATATTTGACATTTTAAATAAAACTATCTTTTCGGATTTTGTCGCGGATTTATTTGTATTTTTGTTTCCCGACGTTTCGAATGCTTTACAGCAATCATGGTCACGGGAGAGACTGAGGTGTTAGATGTCTCTAAGGTATTATATAGTTGTTACAGACAGCCTACCCACAATTAACAAAATGAATTCAAAAAATTGAAAAATGGCACTAAAGTACCTTACAATATTTTAACTTTTAACTTTAAACATTTTTATATAATTTTAATTAGCTTTATAATTGAATATAGAATATTATTTATTTAATTTGAGCTGTTATTATTATAATTATTACAATTTTAAAAAATATTAATTATTAATCTACATTTTTAGTGTTGCCATTATTATATTTGAACATCATCATCATCATTTATAACCATAAAGAAAAATCATAATATATTAATTATTTAAGCCACAATTGATTTATGCGTAATTTGAAAAAGTTAAGATTAATTAAAAATAATAATTTAAATTTAAATTTGCTATTATTTAAAAAACAAATTATTAAGCAACACATTACTACATACATTTACAAATGAAAAAGTGAAAAAATATTATTAATCAGAAATGCTATCATTTTGATCTACCCAGTAAGAACTTACTACATCTACGTGTCTGTTATGTTTAGATTTATTATTAGATTTTATTATACTAATAACAGGATCCCATGACGATGGTAGTACCCAGCCATCTTCCCTATTGAAATTAGGATGTTTTTTAATTTCTATGGCTTCTCGAATCATTCTAGGGCGATATCGGTTTTCTTTCGCCAGGATTTGAGGTCTATCGAAGCGAATATAACGGCTTGACTTTATTTTACATATTTTGAAATATTATTTCTTTAGTATGTCATTTGATAGTTTGCATGTCGATAATGTGTCACTTTTGAACAGCTTGTTATTAAAGGCATTATAAACGAAAACGTGCTTTTGTTTGTTATTTATTTTAAATGCATCGAATGCTATAATTAGTTGTAATATAATTAATAATAACAATGTATGGCTGTATAATATACAAAATTGTTCACTATGAAAGTTTCAACAACATCACCTAGATGTCGCTGCGCGTATCGAAGCTTATTCCTGCATCGCGTTTTTAAGATGTTCTCTCAAAGATGTTCTGATCAAAGTGAAGTATCTGTTCTTTTCAGTTTAATATCTGAAAGTACCCGCACCGCGGGACCAGTATATTAAGGTGATATTTGTTAACCGTCGGGATGTTCGGGGCTCGCTCCACTCCCGCATGGGTCGGCCTGGCAGTGCAGTGCCGACGGGCCCACAATAAAATCTGTACAGTATAATGATATAACATAATTATTAGATGTTTTAGACTATATGCCTAATAAGTAATAGGTGCTATAGTCGTTAGTCTATTTAACTTTAAGTCGCATCGCCTAAGTTCATCTCTAGATGGTTTTTTAATTTTTTTTAGCACACATTGTAATGTTCTATTTCAAACCCTAAAGCAGCGCGTGCAGATGAATCATCTCAGAAGCCAGTATTTTTGCGACTTCAATTACTTTTTAATTTTTATTATGGTTATTGACCACAAACAGGGTTTTTTTACAAAGATAGTTAATTAAAATCCTCATCCTTAGTCTTTATAATGATGATTAAAAAAAGTTAATATATTTGTAATTATGTATACGTAAAGAATACTTGAACCGAGTCATGTATATATATAGTTTTTATTTTCTATTATGTGTATTTTCAATCTAATGTACTATAAATTAATTTAAAAAAAACATTCAAAACAAAATAATAATATTAAAAAGAACTTTTAAACGTTTATAATATATACACTTTGTTTTTCGTTAAAATAAAATGTCAGTATTGTGATTAATTGTAAGTCAGTGATGGAGTTTCTATCGGCGTCGGAGACTCCCGAGAAGAGCTAACTCACTTCAATAATTAAATAAATAAGTGTTCAATCATATTCAAAGATAAATCTAATGAAAACAATGCTGAGTGCTGACATTATGATGCAATAGACTTATGAATAAAAGAAAAAAGTATATAAATTATAATCTCATTTATTTCTAGTTATATAGATTTACTTACATGCTAAATCCTATAAGTAATTTTATAGAAAAACATACAAAATACACTATTGCAGTTTATAACTTTCTATATTAGGTGCTATCGCTTTGATAATGTTGTCGACGCTGTACGGCGTGTCTGAAACAAAATGAATTCATCCACTTAATTTTTCTACTTTATCTTAGAGTGAAATGTATACATTATACATACCTATATAAAATAAATAAAATACAAAGGACAAAACCATTTCCCATACAAACTGGCGCCCGGTGTTACATTGACGTTTTATAAAATAAATAAATTATATCTAATACCTATCCATTTATATATATAGCAATATGGAAAAATGTATTTTTTCTTAACTTGACCATTGCAAATAAAGCAAAATATTAGGCATTTGCTAGATGTATATGTAGATTTCTTCCAACAACACACACACACCCGCGGCGCGCGCGCATGTGCGCACGCAAGCAGGCGCGCGCGCATGTGCGCACGCAAGCAGGCGCGCGCGCACGCACACACGCACACACACACACGTCCGTTCGAATATTAAATAATAGTCCGATAGAATATCTCAACGTAATAATCTCAGGTAATCCAAATGTGACCTATTAAAAAAGGGTAAACTAATGAGTTAGCAGTACAACAGTAAAAAAGAGAGTGTAATATTTTCGGTAAGTACACTCACCAACATGGAGGTACTCCGTGTCGTGATGGCCGTACTCCTTGCGCGCCTCCACGATGGCGTCGTGCAGCGCGCGCGTCACCGCCACCGCCAGCACCAGCGCCGGCTCGCCCGTCGCTGGGGACCATTGCGTTAGTAATAGTATTAGAGACGCTTTATTTTTTGATTCGTAGGGAAACCCCTTTATGGGTGCCAATGGTAAACTACCCACTAAGACCACCACGGTGATCCCGATCGCAAAAGACAGGGCCACGGGATCACTTGCTCATTCGACCGCGAAGTATTAGACCCCAGGTCATTTGGAATGGACGTGTATCTAGGACACTACTCAGTGTAAGTGATGTTATTATTTGCTTAAATGGACGACAAGGTGGCTAAATTGAAGTATTTTGTTTTTTTTTTAATTTGAATATACTAAAATATGTTAAACATAGCAAAATTTATTTTACATTAAATAAATTAAATTAATTGTGATTTTAAACATTTTTATCCGTTTTAAATTATTTATACAATGCACAATATCTTTACCTAGACTATTTTTTAAAACCAGATCATACTTTTTAACTTAACAATTCTATATACGTTCCATTTATTTAAAGTAATTACTCTTTGTACACAATGAGATAAGCTTGGAGTAATAAATAAAGACAACAGAAACTCCATATATAATCGGAAATTAAATCCAAAGCAGCCAACCTTTAGACCTGAGCACGCCGTTCTTATTGAGCGAGTTCCGCTTGAAGGCGACGCGGAAGTCGACGGGCACGTCGCAGGCGCCGGGCGGCCGGTACGTCCACGCGCGGCGCGTCAGCAGGCGCCCGCGCGCGTCGTACGCGAGCCGCTCCGTCGTCCACAGGCCTAGGCCCATCATGAATGCGCCCTCGATCTGTGTTATAATTTAAAGTGAAATTCTTTAGAATCGTTGTGATTTGAAAATCGATACAACGAAAATGCAACAGTAAAAATAGACAGACACATAAATAAATACAAATCTTTCTGCATTAAGTCAATTATTGGACACTAAGTGAACATATAAAACAGTCTCTACAAAAACAATCTAAGCTGCATTTCACTACCTCCTCCTTCACCCCCTGAAAACAACTCACCTGCCCCACATCCAGGTCAGGGTTGAGGCTCCTACCGGTATCTTCCAGAAGGTCGACGCGGTCCAGCACGTGGGTGCCGGCCAGCACGTCCAGCGTCAGCTCCGCGGAGCCGACGCCGTACACCGTGTATTCGGTGAGCTCCGCTTTTGGGGACGTCATCGCGCTCACTTGTAGGTGTATACCTGTGTTTACTTACTTCTTACTAATCGTATTAATATTATAAATGTGAAAGTTTTGATGTTTGAATGTTTGTTACTCAATCACGTCATAACGTCTGAACGGATCTGGATGACTGCATGAACGTCTGAACGGATTTGGCACAGAGATAGATTATAGTCTGGAATAGCAGATCGGCTTTTTATCCCGGAAAAATGTACAGTTCCCATGGAATAGATTTGTTTTCGTTTTTAAGCGAGAGTGAGCCGTTAGTTGATAATATTTCTACGTAACAGGCTTTTATGTTTAAATAAAGAAATATTAGCAAACAGAATATTAAAGAACTAAAATTAAAGATTGAGTGAGAGTCAATATTTGATCACATAACAAAGAACAAATAAGTAAAGAAGAAGAATGTAAAAGTAAATAAATAAATAAATAATATGTTGGGACATTAAGACACGTCACCAACTAGTTCCATGGTAAGCTTCAAGACTTGTGTTATAGATATCACATTGTTGATACACTACACATAATATAACTTTAAATATATACATATTATAAATATAAACACCCATGACTGGAATATAGACATTCGTGCTCATCACACAAATTAATCTCCCAGCGGGACTTGATCCCGCGACCGCTGCAAGCAAGTATGGTCACTACAAACTGAGCCAAACGTGAATAATTTTGATATTCGAGTACGATATTATGTTTTCTGAACCTAATAGTTTCAACTAACCTTTCTCAAACGCCTTTTTAATTATATCCAACCAAGTGGGCTCGTCCATTTCTTTCCGAACTGGCTCTAACCGCTCTAACAACTCGTTACACGCCTTTATAGTAGCGAATGCGACAGACTCGCTCGTGATGCTTCCCGCTGTCGCCATGGAGTTGGGCGACGTAAATGTGTCCGCGCCTTTAACTCTCACCATGTTCAATGGTATTTTAAGGGAATACGCACAAACTTGGGCAACTTTTGTGTTTATTCCTTGCCCCATCTCTATACCCCCGTGGGATATTAGAATGCTACCGTCCCCATGGTACACTGAAATCGTTACTGGGAAGTTACCGAAATATACTATCGGGAACGACATTACTGTTAATTGAAGCGCTTTTTTCTTCCAAGCGTTTTTGGAATTGAATTCGTCTATTTGTGCTTTCCTTTCGTCGTATTTTGTGTCTCTCTTGAACATATCCATCATGTCCATAAGGGAGCTGTGTTGCGCCGCCATGTTCGCTTTGCGGATGTCCGCGGGGTCCCTTTTCGTTATGTGTGATATGCGATGGATGAAATGTTCCGCCATTGCTGTCGCTTCCGTGGTTGCTAGGAAGATAAAAGATGGTTTATTGATTGTCTGTAATAATAAATTGCGGATCGACGTAATATATCATCTAATTAATAAAATAATATAGTATTAGTATGTTTTGCTTTATACTTCAATATTAATTTTAAAAGTAGAAATAATAATTTTATGTAAAAAATATTTACACTTGGAATAGCCATTATAATGGTTAATGGTTAGAATATGGATCGTTGATCGTTGGAGAGTTGTGGTTCGATATTTTATATGGAAGTCAGATCGATGTCGGGAACTCGCTACTCGATTAAACTCTTAGAATTATCATTTTAAGTTTATACAATTGAGATTTCTTTCATTAAATTGTATGAGCATTGAATACTTTATTTTGTACCCGCATTAAGCTTCGATAACGCCCAAAAGACTCGTAACCACTAATAATGATGATAAATACTTTCGTAGATATACGCAAATCTGTGTCTACTTTTGGTTCTCGATGATTTGAATGCTTTACAGCAATCATGGTCACGGTGGAGACTAAGGTTTTAGACGTGTTAAAGGTATAGGTTATATTTAATTATAATACTTATTAAAAAAATGTTTAGAATTAAAATCGACAAATATTGTAAGGTACTTCGGTGCCATTTTTGGGAACCAAAAATCAAAATAAATAGTTTTCTTTAAAATAACAATGGTGATATTGAAAATAGCAATACCCCGTGATATAACTGACCGGGTGCTCTACACCAAGTGGTGCTCGCCTTGTCGGTGAGCACGCTGTGCCCGCGCACGTCCCAGCGCGCCGTGTCGTAGTAGCGCGCTATGGTGGCCGCCACGTCCGGCGCCGACGTGTCGTTGAACGAGATGCCGCAGTCGGAGTAGTACTTCACGTCAGCGTACTGTATCACGCCTTCTTCGTTTACACCCAGCTGGAGGGTTAATGGTAAATGTAGCATCTATAGGTTTTAGCTGTAAACGGCAAGCTAGTTAGTTACTCAGCCCTTTCTAACGGCTTAATACTGAACACCCCTCCCGTGTTCGTTCAATGCAAGGAGGATCGGACCATAGTCCACCACGCTGGCCAAGTGCAATGCAGACTGAGCATGTCTTTCAAAAACTTGCTAGTTTATTTAATCCGTGAGGAAGCTACCACCGGCTCGGAAAGCAGTTCTGCTGATAAAATATATCCTCGAGTTACATTTCGATTTGATGAAATTTGGTATGATCATAGGTGGTTATCCGGGTCAACATATAGGATACTTTTGCAGCGGGAAAATATTTCATCTCTGAAAATACTATAATAAACCTTAAAACGTAAGTAGGGACAAACCCGAACGCAGCGCGGTTGAGTCGCTAGTATTAAATAAATATCAATCCCACCTCATATTCGAAATAGCAGGCCGGCCGCTTGCCGACGGCCTCCATGTTGTCGGCGAGCGGCAACACAAGCGCGGTGGCGCGGCCGAGGCGCCGCGCCACGAGCGCGCAGGCGCACGCCGCCAGCGCCGAGCGCGAGCCCTTGCCGCCGTACCCACCGCCCACGCACGGCACCTCCACCTCCACCCTATACATATATCAGTGCTTCTTAAACTTATTGCACTCATGGACCACTTTTAGAATTTCTAAAATTCCACGGACCCCAGTCAAAGAACATTGTAGGAAAAAAACAAAAAGATTTAAAAAATCACTTTTTTTGGTAATTTTACTCACACTTAATTAAATATTATCAAATATAGTTAACGAGAAGGATGTCGTTGTTTGGCTTCAATGAGCTCATGAGACCTCATGAGATGGACGAAACAAAAGATGAGTTAGTTTACTGCACAATTTTTAATTAATGTTAAGAACTAAATTATTGAGCTGCTGCGGACCCCTGGCACACATATTGGACCCCACTTTAAGAAACCCTGCCATATATTATTGTTAAACTCTTTCTCCGTAATATCTTATAATCACAAACTGCAACACAGTCTTATTCCTCAGCACTGCACTTTACTTTATTAATGTTCTAGGTTAGAATTGTAATAAAATACTATTTTTATTGTAAATATTATTTTATTTACCAGCACACCTTCCTTGCTCGGTATCTAGGCAACGTATAGCTCGTTTTCCGACTTCGGTCAACAATACTAAGTTTGTCGAAGTTTTCTGACTTTTATTATAACTTCAATTTCGAATGAAAATAAAATCAATATTCTCAATAAAATAATTATCTAATTCTGAGCGGAAAGAATCAATAGACATACCAAAATTTTTTGTATAAATTATTTCGTGATTTAATATATATAATATTACATATTTTCGCTTTATTAAATATTAAAAATACTTAAAGCCGGGAACATAAAAAAACATCTTCAAGTAACTATTATGCGTGATGGCTTATAAAACAATAATATAATCTATACTAATATTATAAAGAGGCAGTTTGTTTGTTTGAACGCGCTAATCTTATTTGAAAAAATCTTTTTTTTATTAGATAGTTCGTTTATTGAAGAAGGGCTGTTCGCGCATCGCTCGAACGCGGATCCGAGGGACGAGGAGAAGGCGGCGTCAAGCTGACTGCGGGGCGCCGGCGGGCCACCACTTCGAATACCGGCGGCTACCAATGATCACTCGCGTCTCGCATTAACTTATTCGCTATATATTTTAATTTCCAAATTCTTCTTCTTCTCCCTGTCCATTTCCCAATCACTTGGGGTGGCGCAGTACATCTTCTGTACTGCTGAAAGGAATCTTAAAAATCTTCTTTAATTTCCAAATTAATACAGTTATTTTATACAGTCCACTCTCTATCATTTACTAATCTCCCAACAAAGGCTATAGGTTGTATATTATTATCTACCACTACTCAAGGGAGCGGAGCGAGTCGCTAGTATGAATATATTTTATTAGTAAATACAATTAAATGATCCCATTTAACTGGTATTTACAACAATAATAGTCTCTCTCGTGCCCATGATTGCTGTAAAGCATTCGAAACGTCGGAAACCAAAAATCTAAATAAATCCGCGAAAAATCCGAAAAGATACTTTTATTTAGAACTAGCGACTCACCCTCGCTTCGCTCGGGTTCGTCGCCAGGTACGTTTTAAATAGATAAAAATAGTTTGTTAAAACTGTTTTTAAAAACTAAAATTTATATGTTAGCCATATAAATTTTATTTTTTTTGTTAATAATATTGACAAATATTGACATCAATATTTATACGATACTGACGTCACTCAATTGTTTTGCCTTACCGGAACCTCTCCACTAACACTTAAACTTTATGGTATGGTATTAAAGTTCAAATTGACTTTTATTATTACGAATCTTTTGTATGGGAGTATAAAAAAGTGCTGTTGTTAGACTTTTTCAGGCAATTTTTATATTTTTCTCTCCGTAAGAACCATCCTCGTACTTCAAGGAATATTCTAAAAAAAGAATTAGCGAAATTGGTTCAGTTGCTCTCGAGATTTGCGCTTGCCAACACATTCAGCGATTCATTTTTATATTATAGATATAAAATATTCGCGAGAATGATAAATCTAGAATTATAATTCTTATAGTTTAATTTTATTAACCTCACCAAAGGCGAGGCTTCATAAATATGAAAGACTCATTTGAGTGTTCCCCTCCACGGAAATCTTTAGTAAAAGGCGAAAGATTTGTACGTGTTGAAGGGAAACCAGAGATGCTCTACGCAGCGCTCTACATAACTACTTACACTTCGACACGACAATCTTGCCAGCGCGATGTAGGATGCTTACAATACGGAACAACGCCATCTATTGGTGATTTTGTGAACTATATAATAAATTAGTATGCTCCGATAGCAAAAATTAAAATTAAAAAAATAAATTATATATAGTAAAAAAGTAAATAATTTTCAATAAGTAACGAAAAAACACTTTTTTAGAATTTTGCGTAATCCGACCCGAAAAAGTTTGCTAATCCTATACAATAACCAGTCTCTCACAAAAGAGTACACACTTAATGTATCGTGTATAAAGTAACACTACATAATTCTTCTGTACTGCTTTTTGAAAAAAAAAAACTACAACCATCCCATCCATCATCAACATACAGCAGCCAATTCGTGTCACCTGTTCAGTGGGAGATCCATAGCCCTGGCCACGGCCACCTGCACGAGGTCCATCCACTGCGTGGCGCAGCGCACGCGCAGCCCCCCGCCGCCCGCCGCCGCCGCCGGCGCCGCCCGGCAGCTCTGCGTCTCCATAGTGAAGTGGTACTGGTCGGGCACGTAGTACGCGCCCACGATCTTGTGCACTATGTCCGTGCCTCTGTCTGTCGCGTTGGATATTACGTCTTGACGGATCTACGAGTAAGTGACAAACACAACGGATGGGTTTAGTGAATTGAACATTTTTGTAATTTATAATATAATACTAGCGGCTTTCCCTTTTTTATTATTTACTATCTTATTTAAATTTAACTTGAAAAAAATCTAAACAAGCACATTCACAAATAAACTATCTATTGAAATATTAATATACAAACTCACCCTTTTAGCTTTATCCGGGGCTACCAGAGCATCCTGAACACTCAAAACTGGCTTGGCCTGATCGTGTTTGTATGTAACATTGACCAATTGGGCGGCTTGTAGGGCGAGTTTTCGAGAGGTGGCCGCTATAATTCCAATTGGTTGGCCGTAGTAGGATACTCGTTTGCTTGCGAATATCTCTTCCTCATCCGTCAGCCCCGGCACGTCGTTGGGGGTGAAGTTGTTTGTGCCAGGAATATCCTTAGCCGAATAAAATGCTACGACTCCTGGTAGTTTCTGTAATATATATTTTCTAATCAAATTGCTTATGCTGTGGAAGTATTTTTATAGACATAGCAAATATGACGTTATTATTATTTTTTTACTAGCCTGAAAGAATTAGAATCTATTTCCTTGCGATGAATACAATAAATACTCAGTTGGCCCTTACTTGCTTTGACGACAAGTTTGGCTCAGTGTGTAGTGACCCTAGTTGCAGTGCCAGCGGTCGCGGGTTCGAGCCCCGCTGGGGGCATTCATTATGTGATGAGCACAAATGTTTGTACTCCAGTCATGGGTGTTTATATTTATAGCATGTATGTATTTAAAGTTTATATAAGTATATGTATGTAGTTTATCAACTCTCTGGTATCCAAAGCACAAGCCTCGTAGCTTACCATGGAACTAGACGGTGCTGTGTATTAATGTCCCCACATATTAAAAAAAACATATATATAACTTTTATACTTTTTGACATAAACTATGATTGCACTAGTCAACATGTCTCATTGTCTCATATTGATCCAATTTCGAATCAAAGTACATAATGCCACAAATATTGAACAGAAGTTATTTCATATGGATAATGTGTATGCATGTGTGTATGTATGTATATATGTATGTATGTATCATAGAGATCGCTTTTTAGTGATAAGGCCGCCTCTTATACTATTCCTACTTTAATTTATTTCTACAATGTAATGTAAAATAATGGTATGCATTAAAAAAATATTCGTATTTGAATTCGGTCATTCCATGTCCAACTCACCAGAGCGTCACTGGCGTCTATCTTGAGCAGGTCGGCGCGGCAGGCGGCGGCCAGCACGAGCGCGGCGTGCAGGTCGCGCGCGCCCGCCGCGTCGCCCGCGTACGCCGCCTCGCCCGCGCACTGCGGGCACGGGACACCTCAATTTATATTTGTGTATAACCTCCTATTCAATTAAGTTTTCTCACGAGTCTTTCTGCAGTGCACAGATAACTTAATTGTATTGGAAAAACTTAATTGAATTGCTTAGATTATTTTATTTATGTAATCTAGTAATAATTCCATTCAATTAGCAAGTTAATGGCTTCAATTCGTGCTATTTGAACTCAGATAACTTCGTCAATGTCAGATTAAATGAAGAATAGACACTCCCAATAATATTTTCTTAGATTAACGCGAATATTTAACACTGTGCATGAAACTATTTTTCTGTTTTTTTTTTCAGATTATATATATATAATCAATATACATTAACAGTCACGGGAGAGACTCCTTGTCTTTTCCTTGGCCGTATTTGCTGTAAGGCAAGCGAAACGTAAAAGACAAAATCAATCATGAAAAATTGGGATTTTATTTTATATTAGCTACTTACCCTACAATTTATATATACATATGATAATCTGATATATATACCTATGATAATCTGAATAAAAAATAAAAAAAATATACTAAACAGCCTCGAACGGTTTGATACACACGTAGAAAGTATGAGTAACGAAACAATGACGTAATTTTTGAAGAGCAAATACCATTAATACTTTGAAGACACTTGAGAAACGTGAATAAACAGAATGATAACAATGCAGAGATTTGTACAAACTGGAACTCTAGGTAATCCTTTTTCTCTTCCTATATACATATAGTGTATATATATTTTTTCGGGGTTTTGATCCTTTTAGGGCCAATTCACACTATAGAGCAGATCACAGTCCATTGTCGGTCGGATATCGGTCTGATAGTGTTTTTAGAAAAGAAACGTTGCCAGAGCATGACCTGGACCTTTGCTCTTACTGATAGTGTGAACTATTGTTTCTTTTACAAAAATAATTTACCAGCCCGACTTCGAACAGCGACCAGCACTATAGTGTGGATGCAACCTTATGCTTATCATACCTGAGCCAAAGCCTCCAACTTGGGCACAGGTTGGTTCACCGGCCATACACTTTTGTCGGTGTCGTAGGTCTGCGTGGCGCGCGACACCGCCCGCGCCAGCGCCGCGCCGCCCGACGCATAGCGCGGGCTCACTGTCGGGGCCAGGGATAGAATCGCCTGAGTACATAAAAAAATGAATATTAGAGATATGTAGAGTTATCCAATGGATCCATCGTATTGTTTTCTTGACAGAATATTTAGTTTAGTAAAAAAATGTAATCATAATGATTTCCTCATTCAAGAAACCTTTTACAGAAGGATCTATTAAGATTAATTATTCTTGAAGTATAAGTACTGTATATACTTTCAAATGCATTTTTTAAAAAACTATTATTTTGACATTACAAACAGACGCTTCAATTTTATTTATTTGTATAGATAATTTAACTTCACATAGCTAGAGAAATATTATACTAGACTTAATAATAAAGAACATCTACAATTTACAACTACCCATTGGTCCTATACAAATTTTTACATTATTAAATCTGCCCAAATACTTTATTAGGCTTCGATCAACATTGGCTTTGATCGTAGTTATTAATTATTAGGCCATACTTAATTCTTTAGTGTGGGACAAAACTGTGGAGTGTAGTACTGTAGTAATTTTAGTGTTTGTGTGAGGCGTGACGAGTGAACACAAATAAAAATCTTTGTTTCGTCACTAAATAAATATTTAATTATTATTAAAAAGTCAACACACACGAAAAATAATACAGAAGAGCATGTTTAGGGAGATACACAATAATATAAATAGTTGGCAGTAAAAATTGTATAAAACAAATAATAATAAGCATCAGATGACAAAGCATAGACTTAATCTATACATACAATAAAATTCTAACGGAGTCGAATCTGTACATTAAATATTTTTTGGAAAATCTTATTGAAATAGACATTATTATCGATACAGAGGCAGAATCTATAGTTTTTAGAATTTTTGTCTGTCTGTCTGTTTGTCTGTCTGTGACCACAAAACGAGAAAACCACTGGGCAGATTTTGATGAAATATGGTATGATGATAACTGTTTACCCGGGTCTACAAATAGGATGCTTTTTACTGCGGGAAAATATCTCATTTCTGAGAACTCTACTAAACGTTAAAATGTACTACTGGGGATCAACCCGAGCGGATTGAGGTTGAGTCGCTAGTGCTTTATAAAAATTATGTGTCCGGTAGGAGACGAACAAATTCTTATCTGCCGTATACTACGGGTTACGCGCGGCTATGCTTATGAATTAAATAAATATGAATAAATGTTAATTAACTAGCATTGCCTGCGGCTCCGCCCGCGTTCGATGACCAAAAACCAAATTCTTAAGTTTTACATAGTAGTATACAAATGCAGTTTTGTATTTTTTCTCAGAAATGAGGTATTTTCCCGCGGTAAAAAGTAGCCTATATGTTGATCCGGATAACCAGCTATCATCATACCAAATTTCATCAACATCTGTCCAGTGGTTTTCTCGTGATGCGGTAACAGACAGACAGACAGACAGACAGACAGACAGACAAAAATTCTAAAAACTATACAATATATATATAATTCATACAATATATATATATATATATATATATATATATATATATATATATATATATATATATATATTTTAGAATTATATATATATATATATATATATATATATAATTCTAAAAACTCTGTATCGATAATAATGTCTATTTCAATTAGATTTTCCAAAAAATATTTAATGTACAGATTCGACTTAGTTACAATTAATTTTATTATAGATATAGATAAAAATAAATAATTTAATATACGTGATGTATGTATGTAGGTGAATATTTATATTTATTATTATTATTTATATGATTTTAGTACGTAAATTAAACAATAAATAAAATATAAACATTATTAAATATATTATGTTATTTTTATGTTTTATATTTTAAATACACACCTTATAGAACAATCCTAAGGCGATCGCCTTCCTACAATATGGATCCGGTTCAGGTGGATCGTCCAACGGCACGATATCTTCCTGTAACTTCTTTAACGCTTTTTGCAAAGTTTCATCACTAAATAAGGGTAATCCTTTAAGCATTTTCTCTACATCAGTGGCTCGATTGAAATTAGGATTGATAGAACCGTAAACAATGTTAGATGTGAGTACTGTTTTGTTTGGATTCAACTGGAAGTGGAAGCCAGCGTTTACGATGGCGTGTGTGTTTTGGGCTCGGGGCATTATCTGTAATGTCAATAAGTAATTAGTATTTATTCTTATATAAATGACTATAGCAAAATAAAACATTCGAAATATACTTTAAAATGCTCAAATGGCTAATTGTGTCCCAAATGTTATATGCACAATTCGTTTAATAATCAAAAATGGTAAGTAAGAATAATTAATAAATCAATTATAGATTTTGCAATACTTTCAAAGTTAAATTTAAGTTAATAGTTATACGTATTCGTTGAAGTAAAAACATTATCAAAACAATATGAACTAAAATATTACTTCTCTGAATTTTGGATAACATTTAATAACCTCAAGCAAGCAGCATACCTTGTACGTCCTTATCAGGTGGTTATTAGATAGCGGCGGAATTTTCAAATTTAATATTAATTTGTCTTTTAGATCTATTTGTAGAAACCTCGTCAATTTCATCTCGATGGTCTCCAATTTCATGTCCACTGAAAAGGATTACAAGTAAAGTTCAGTGTCCCAGAAAGACGTCTAAAACCTTAGTCTCTTCCGTTACCACGTTTGCTGTAAGGCATTCGAAACGTCGGGAATCAAAAATCAAAATAAAACCGCAATAAATCCGAAAAGGTAGTTTTATTTAAAATAATCCTAATACTTATTATAAATAAATACCAAAGTTTGTGAGGATGTATGAATGTCTGGATGTATAGATGTATCTATGGAGGTTTCTTACTCTTTCAAGCAAAAACTACTGAATGGATTTGAATGAAACTTTAAAATAATATAGCTCAAATATCAGAATGACACATAGGCTACTTTTCATCTCAAAAAAATGTACGGTTGCCGTAGGATAGATTTGTTTTTTTTGTTGAAGCGAGGGTGAGCCGCTAGTCAAATATACTAAGAAAGTATTATGTCCGGGAAGAGTTTATATAATTACTTTCCGACGCCATCACCAGCACTACGTCGATGGTATAATAAATATATTATACCATGGACGTGGTTCTGCTAACATAATAATGTTAGATTGTTAGCAATATGGTATGCAGATATATCCACAATGTAAGCTCTATCCGTATGCGTAGTGATTTTCTAAGCACATCTAAAAATTGAGAAGATTGCGAATCTTAGCTACTAATATGATAATATTTGTGAATTCAGTGAGCATTGAGTCAGAGAAGTATAAGTAATCGTTCCTACTGCTAAAGCTAGGCTTCCGTAATATTATAAATGCGAAGGGCATTTAGGAACGCAAGTATATAGATCATAAATTCTGAACCGGAAACACTGACCGACATACAAATGAAATATGGAAATATTTTATAATAATACCTTCATAAATTACTACTTAAAACTTACCTAAAGTTATTGTAGCATTAACCGTCTCGAACAAAACAAAGAGATCTGATTGGAATTCAGGATGAGCATGCTTCATAGCCAAGTTACCTCCAATAGTACCAATCTGAAAATATGATATTATCTTAAATAGGATAAAATAAATTCAATAATTTTTTGTATCTGTTTGTTTACTTAGTTTTTAAAGAATTTCTATCGGAAAGTTCATATTAGTATAGAATATAGATAATATATAAGTGTAAACAATATACGTATATATTTTACAATAAACTTACATAAACAGGGCTTACATAAATATCAATGTTTTATTCTCACGTCGTCAAGCGAAACGAGTGCGTAAGCAAGGGCAAGACAATATACCTTCATATAATAAGATTCTAAAGGAGTCGAATATGTAGTTACACTGAATATTTTTTGGAATATCTTATTGAAATAGTCATTATTATTGATACTAAGGCCAAATCTATAGTTTTTAGTATTTTTTTTGTCTATCTGTCTGTCTGTCTGGGAACGCATCAAGATAAAACCAGGGGACAATTTTGATGAAATTTGATATGATGATAACTGGTCATTCGGATCAACATTTAGCATACTTTTTACTGCGGAAAAATATCTCATCTCTGAGAAATCTATACTAACCTTTAAACAAACTATATAAGTAAAAATTATTAACTAGGTATATTATAAGTAAAAGTAGGAAATAATTATAATTAATCACTCTCAATGTCGGTATCCTATGGAACATCAGACTAATTCATATACACCTAAACCTTTAAGACTTTGAAGTCCAAACAATAAGATCTCTTGTTGAAAACACATCAACATTTAATCATTATTCAAATGATTATGAACCGAGGCCAAAAAACCTATTGTTGAAATTAAATCGAAACAAATCGTTGATATTCGGTAATACGCTCATTTGTTTTTTTTTGGACAATATTGCCCGTTGTGCACTTACATTTGTACCTATGGCGTAGTACGACAAGAATGTATCAACTTGACGAATGATGAATGGAAATCATTTTACGGTGGATAACGATGCCTGATAGTTCGCTAAATAAATATACAAACTATTTTAGTGCCTTTGATGACTTTAAACTATAAATGATCACTAAAGTTTGCCGTTGTGACCCTAAAACTGATAGGTTAGACCCTTTGCTGATATTAAAAGCTGGGATTTTCACTTCTGGTGGACGTAGCTCTGCAGGATAAACACTCTAGCTGTATGTATATACAAAAAATAAGGCCTTATGGAGGAATCAAACCCTTCACTTTTGCTATCGCAGATAATAAAGCAATCCTTTTGCGGATATCTCTTTATCTCCGTAATGCATTAAAAGGATTTTCCAAATAGTGGCAATTTTTTTGGTTTATCGCTGAATTTTAATGGGGTGAAAAATTTTTGTACTAATGGAACAGATAAAGTATATCGGACTAGTAATCTAAATGTAAAAGAGTTGTATGTTATGTTACTCCTTCACGCTAAAATGACTGTACGGATTTAGATGTTTATTATATAGATAGACTATGCTAGTTACATTTACATATATTGACGAATAAATATATAATCATAAGCCTATTTATTAACCTTTTATAATTTATTACCTATGGTTATGTGGAACTCACCGGCTAGAGAAGCCAGTACTACGCTCTAAAATCCAACAGAACCTTCCCCATCGTAATGGATCGTCACAGGATCGCTTACGCACTCAACCATGACGCCCAGACGGCAGGTCTGCCGAAGCAGACCACAACAACCATGGGGTTGCTCCAAGGTCCACTCTGCTATCAGAGAAGTACCAGGAGCAAGCCGCATAGCACACCAACCACCGAGGTGAGCCACCTCCAAGTGTGTCTCTTGACTTTGCTGGCTTACCGGACGCTAATGAGGACCCGCACCACGACAAGGTTTATTTATTTATTTATTAGATTCACCAGTGGTTAGTTACAATAATACAATTTATTTTATACAAGTACAATTTTTTTAAGTTTTTATAGCTAATTGCACTACCTTTTAAGGTGAATACCACATGCAAATTTGGAGAGGTTAACACACATCAGGGGAATAATCATGAACCTACAATAATTCTCTAATTTTATTTATTTATAAGATTTCTAGGAGTTGTTGTCAAGTATTTTTGCAAAAATATGATGTAAACAGTGGAATATTACTCCAATTTACGATACAAGAGGGGAACGCTAAATTTTTTTTTCTTTACAAGTACTTAAAAAAGAACACAAATGAAACTAAACCTGTACTTAAATATATTATTATGATATACAAAATAGATGTACGCTCAGGTCTGGTCTCTAAGTACCTAATATAAAAAAAAGTCATTTCTGTTTATCTTCACAGTTTTTTATATTATATACTTGATTTTAATGTGGGTATATCATGATATATAGATATATGGTCCGTCGCTATAAAAATTTACAACAGCATCTACTTACATTACATTGATTATTTTCTATATTTTTGACTGACTTTAAAAAGGGATATAAACTTCATTCGTTTGTTTTTCAAGTATATTACGCGATATCTTTGCTAATTATGTTTACAACATCGTTCATTTTAAAGCGTTTTAACAAAAACCCTTTCATTAAGGTTACCCAGGCTTAATGAAATCATTTCCTTCGTAGGGTTAATCCTTTTTATTAGGGTTACGCAAGAATCCTATCAATTATGTGTTACCAGATAAAAAATATGATGTATTAGACTTTAAAACTATGTATTTATAAAAAAATAATATTAGAACGAAGTAATAGACCAATCGGAATCCGTTTATTTTTAAGAGAAAGAAATATATTGAAAACCTGAAGTTTTATGATTTTAAAATGTTAGCAGGTATATAGAAATTCGTAAAATTCCCCACATGCCCAGCTACCGTCGAGAAATGGGGGGATGCAAAGCGTTCAAAAATAAGTTTTATTCAATTTCCGGCTTACTGTGACGTTCTATCGAAAAATGTTTTCTACAAAAGTTGTAGGTCTAGTAAAAACCTACAACTTTTATAAATAACACTTTTTTACAATAACCTTAAAGTTTTCGAGATATTTTCAGAAAACTCGGTTTTTAATTATTTTTTTTTTGTTTTTTTTTAATTTCTAGCAAAATCTTTTGATCATTTTCCATCATAGTTCCTTTAAAAAAACGGGTTAACCTCATAGATTCACTTATAAACAATTTGATAACCCTTTAGATAAGGTTAATTGTACAATAGGGTTATCATTACAAATGATTAATCACAGAAAGACACATTTAATGAGTAACATGATTTCTAAAATCATTTTGTATTGGTAAATATTTTATTAGGCTGCTTAAAACTAAATCCCCCAAAGTGCGTTCACCTAGTCGTGGTGGGAGGTTCGTTAGCGTCCAGCAATCAAGCCGGTTGCGAAGCCAAGAAACGCACTGGAAGGCGTCAGGCGGCCCACCTAGGTGGGCGGTGTGCTATGTGGGTTGCTCCTGGTACTTCTCTTGTGGTCTGCTTCGGCAGAACTGCCGTCGGGACGTCGTGGTTGAGTACGTAAGGGATCCTGAGACGCCCCATTAAGACGCGCGAGGTTCTGTTGGGTTTTAATGGGTAGTACTGAATTTACTAACCGGTGAACTCCACATAACCAGCTGTATATATACAGGTGGTATTTTTTTTAACGTTGGGAAATGCATTTACGTACGAGGTGTGGGACTCGCCGGCAAAGCCAGTACTACCCACTAAAAACCTCCTTGTGCGTTTCTTGGCTTCACGCCCGGTAGATTGCCGGGCACTACTGAGCCCCCCCACCACGATATGGTGAACGCACGTTGGGGTACATATATACAGGTGGTATGCCTAAATGCATGTCCCAACATTAAAAAAAAGGCTTAACTCTAATCCCGGGTTTTTCGGTCCCTAGATAATAATTATGTCTTGAATTGTAAATTAAATATTTAGAGCAGCTACTTTTAAGTCTTTATAACTTAAGCAACTAGTACTAAGTTGTTCTGTCGATCAGTTTTTAAACTAAGTTTAGTGAAGCATGAAAACAATACCAACAAATAAATGCACTTTCACAATTGTTACATTATTTTGACAATGTTCCAGCGAATGGAAAGCGCAATATTATTATTATTTTATTTGTACCTATACAGATATTTTTTGTTTGATGCTTATTTCTAATGGATTATGGAGGTTCGAGTCGTAACATTTTGGTGTAACAGTGAAATATATTGGTTATTTTTTTCACTTTCACGCTATATTACTTGAAGATTGTATAGACAGTATTTCTTGTTAACAATTGTAATTGTCACTTTATTACTTTATCTTTAAAGTAAGAATTTGACGTAATTTTTATTCATTGCTTTTGAATACTTTTCGCATTAGGATACTTTTTAAGATAGGTCATAAGCTACTTAATTCGGTACCTTTAAAGGTAAAGAGAGTGCAGGTAGTGTCTGTGCTTACACCGACACACGCTGCACTTATATCTCCAGCGCTAGCTAGTCTCAGTGAGATTGACCGACGTTGCCGAAATCATTACGAGGAAATTTTCATTATTAATTTCATTGTACTATTATTACGAGCAAGGAATGCCTGAATGAATGCATGAATGAATGGAAAAAAATAAGCAAAGTGATGGCGAGTCACTACCGAAGAATATATCGCTTCGAATGAATAGATTTTTAGAGTTAATTGTTTTGAACAAGGAAAATCATGCTACATTTATGCAAATAGTATTGATTATACATATATATGACTAATTTGCCAATTGACTTGTGGTATACGTATACGGTATATAGGTATATTGTGTACGTTATGGCTAAGGTATAATTATTAATAATAACGTAAACAAATTACTATTCAATATATAAGACATATTTTTTTACGTGTTTAAACAGAATAAGCTGTAGTATTTATTATGTGATCAGATTCTATTATTTATGCAAATATAAAAATCATAAAATTATTTTCGTTTTTTTATTATAACGATCTTACTAAATAATTATAAAATTAAAAAAAAATCCAGATATTGTATTTTGCATGCTTTTTAAAATACCCTAACCAAAGTAAAGGGCAATGGCGATATGTGGTCTTTAATTAAATTTCTGTAATTTTACTAATCATTGAAAAATTAGTTTATTCGAAATCTAGATTATACTGCATATTCATAGATGTAACTATTATTATTTTTTCTGAGTTTTAGCATCAACGTGATCTAAACAAAAAATAGGCGTTTTTTCTTAATATGGGATATTATACTGTATAGTAAGTAAAGTTAGTTTTCTTAAAACTAAAGTAAATAGTACTTACATTTTTCACCGGCACGTTCGCAACTAGCTCCAAATGCTTGTGAAATTGCTCCAAGTATGCGAAATCGTCATTTTTCATCTGCTTTTTGAATATATCCATCGTCTGATTTATCGTGAGACCGGCCCCGAGCACGAGGTTTTCGTCTATAAGAGAGTCCTGCAGCGAGCTGATGGAGGCGATGTCGATGTACACGCGCGGCTCCTTCGATAGCGGATAGACGCCTAAGATATATATTTTTCATTATTATCACATTGTTTAATTCACAGAAGAGAAAAAAAAACAAAATCTAGAACTATTTATGCCTAAAATATTTAGGCCAAACTAGACTGTCCTAGGCTAAACTAGTATATTCAGACACACTTTGGATGGACCGGTTTGGCATAGGACAAACCAGTTTGCCTTAAAATCGGGTTCGGTCGGTAACATTTACATAATTTTTTATTTATTTAGTTATTATGATACTGAATTATATCAAGAATATTGTATTCAAATTTAATTTAAAAAATATAAAAAAAAGTTAAAAAATCACCTTTCCCCGTGTTCCCCGCCACCAATCTGTAGCTGTCCGTACCCTCTTTTTCGAGTACCTACATAGATAAGCTTTATAAAATTAATACTATCTTAATATCACAATCATTAAATTTATATGTGTTTCTATCTTTTACATCTTTTCTTAGCCTTTCTTACCCTTAGCCCCACACTCCCTATTTCCTTCTTCTTCTTCCTACTCCTCGCTATCAGCCGTCATCTCAACACACATTTAACAACATCCTTTTGCATCGTCTTTACTTTCTATCTTCATGGTTTTTACTTTCTTCTATCTACCTCTACTTGCATATCCATTATCCATCTACATTCACATATCATATTCTCTTACTCATATTACTTCCATTCCTGTACAGGACTTGCCCATTCCACGCTAACCTGTTACTGCTAAGCTTCTGGTACTACTTTTATATTTATCTCTTTTAAGATTTTGCTTCAGACAAATTAAACTGTTTTATTGTTAAAATATTAATCTATACCTATAATAAAATTCTAACCGAGTAGAATATGTACATTAAATATTTATTGGAACATATTATTGAAATAGTCATTATTATCGATACAGAGGCTGAATCTATAGTTTTTAGAATTTCTGTCTGTGACCGTATCACGAGAAACTGGACAGATTTCGATGAAATTTGGTATGATGACTGGTTTTCCGGGTCAACTTATAGGATAATTCTTACTACGGAAAATATCTCGTCTCTGAGATATCTGAGTGTAAGTCGATAGTAAGACATATTTTACATATTATTTTATATACATTTTTTAAACCTTTAAACTTAATATTACTCGTTTAGATTAAAGAAAATAAATAAATGTTAATTAATCACAGTTATTTCTGTAGAAATAAAAAGATTCATTTTTACCTTAAAAACATCATTTACGGAGAAAGCTTTGTACCAAATGTTGTCGTCCATCGGTAAGTCCAATAAATTTTCACTGCAATTTTCAATTAAACACCATTCGTCTTCTATATCACATTTCTTCATACATTTCGTAAAACATTTGATCTCGTGAAGGTCTTCTAAGTCCTACGAATGTTATAACTTTAACAATAAATATATAATAATTTAATGAAACTTACAATAATATATTACAATAGTGGAATTGGAATAGGTTTTAGAATTCAAACGCCTGAAGGTCTGACTAGAGCCGAAAGGTCCTATTTAAATCGTCAAGATCTAAATAAACGTAAATTCGGATACAAAGTTAAAAGTAGAAACTAAATAATTTATTAGCTTACTAAATAAATTGTGTCATAGTAAGAGGCAAGCGTCTGAGATGCACGCTTGGTCTACTGTTTGAAATACTCTTCATGCATTTACCTGACACGATAGATACCTAGATACCTTAGAAGACACATAATAAACTACGTGAGTGCCGCGGAAAAACTTAACAATATGTTACTAATATTCTAAATATAAAAGTTTTGATGTTTGAATGTTTGGATGGATGTTTGTTACTCAATCATGCTAGAACGGCTGAACAGAACGGAATAAAAGGCACAGAGATAGATTACAGTCTGGAATAGCACATAGGCTACTTTTTATCTCGGAAAAATGTATGGTTCCCGTGGGACAGTTATGTTTTTTTTTTACTAGAGGCGAACCGGAGCGAAGCAAGGGTGAGCTGCTAGTATACAAATAAAATAGTCGATAATTGTTGAAAATGTTATGGATATAGATTTATTTACATAGAAGGAAAGGAATACTAAAATTGGATAAAATAATTATCTATTATTAAATAAAACTATCTTTTCGGATTATTTCGCGGATTTATTTTTATTTTTGGTTCTCGACGTTTCGAATGCTTTACAGCATCCATGGTCACGGGAGAGACTGAGGTGTTACATGTCTTGAATGTATAGTTGTTACAGACAGCCTACCCACAATTAACAAACATGTACAAACAAACAATGTCTGTAACAACTATACATTCAAGACATGTAACACCTCAGTCTCTCCCGTGACCATGGATGCTGTAAAGCATTCGAAACGTCGGGAACCAAAGATCAAAATAAATCCGCGAAATAATCCGAAAAGATAGTTTTATTTAATAATGTCAAACATTCGCGTAAATCTAAGAAAGTATTAATTAGCTATTTTTTAACAATCTGTTCGTGTAAGAAAAAATTTTTTCATACTAACCCTTATGTTACCATCATAGTCGACGTCAGTGGCAAACGTCTTGAAGGCGTCCAGAATAGGTCTGTAGCCGGTACATCGGCACAGGTTGCCAGCAAATGATCTCTCGATTTGCTTCATTGTCAACTTGCTTTTTGAACCTTTATATAAACTACATAAAAACAATCATACTATGAAAAATAAGAACATATCATGAATAAAAATATCTTAAATTTTACGCGTTAAAAAAATTATGTTAAAAATATATTCAAATATCGCTTACAAAATCATATTTCATCGTATTTAAGAAATAAAAGAAATGATTTCTAGTTTATTTTTTTACATACAATGAACGTAGCTTTACGCCGCATTTAAATATAAAAATTAAAAATCTTTATTGGAACAAACTGAAAAGTTACATTATAGAATGTACGATTAGTGTTGTTCCTGACATCTAATAAACTTGAAACTACCTTAAACACAATATACAACTGCATCCTAAAGTGGGTGGAAATCTTACCATCCTTAAACAATTTTTTCGGATCATTTCGCAGTTTTATTTTAATTTCTAATTCGCGACGTTTCGAATGCTTCACAGCAATTTTGGTCACGGAAGAGATAAAACCGCAAAAAGAACCATAAAAATAGGTTTTGGTTAATGTTAAATATACGTGTAAATCTAGGATGTTTATATATACTTATAAAAAAAACGTTACGTACGTTACGTTTACATTTTCATAACGTTATTCTAGTTATCATTTTCGGGTCGTCAATAAAAATCTTCATAAATACACAAAAAACAAAAAATTGATACCACACGTTTTTATTTCGATATAAATTAAATTTTTGTCGTTTGCTCTTCCATGCTTGATTAACACAAGAGTTTTTTATCAACATATCTATTTCCTCTTATCTAATGTAAAGTTCACCGTAGAGGAAAACCACTAAATACAATAAAATATATTACCTGTGCATATTCATAACCCATCCAGGGGTACAGTACCCGCACTGGGTGCCGTTGAAGTAGGCGAGCCGCGTTTGTATCTCGCTGTAGCCGTCCCTGCGGTTGCCCACCCCTTCGATTGTCGTGATATCCCACTCGTGGCATGATAGGATGTGAACTAGACACTGATTTATATATGTATTTATTAAATTTGTATAGAAGTATTGTACTTATGAAGGAAAACATCGTGAGGAAACCTGCATGTCTGAGAGAACCCAGCAAGTTTACGAAAGACATGTGAAGTCCGCCAACCCGCACTTGGCCAGCGTGGTGGACTATGGCCTGATCCCCCCTCGTATTGAAGGGAGGCCCGTGCCCAGCAGTGGGACGTTAAAGGGCTGAATACACACATTGTACTTATAGGTGAACCAAAAATCCTAATATTGGAGATCAAACGTTGGGTAAAACATCTTTATTGATATGACGCACAAATCTCATACATAAATAAAATACATAATATGCATAAACTTTAAACAATATTTATTTAAAAATTAAAAGATTAAATTGAATAAATTTACAATAAAAGATAAAAATGTATAAATTAACATCAGTATATTGACCTCTGACGAGCAAAACTATAATGAATTTAAAACACAATGACATTATAGTCAAAAATTAATGAAATAAATGTAAATGAAAAATGTAATTCATAGCATAAGTAACTTTTATTTTTATTATTTCAGAATAAAAACCATTCTATGGAAGGGCATAGGATGGACTGGGAAAACCCAAAGTCTCAAATTATCTTCTTACCAAAGTTCATCTAAATAGGTTAAGTAGTTCCATAGATTATTTCCTACAAACAAGCTAACAAACTTACAAACTTTACCTCTTTATAATATTAGTATGACTAGCGACATACCGCTTTTTCGTTTCGCTATGTATATTTTTCTTTTTAAATAGATAAAAATAGATATTGCTAGTGTACTTTAGGAGATGGATATGCTCGAACATGATTGATGATATTCTCCTAGCCGATTCCGGCTACGGCGGCCAATCTCATTGAGACTAGCCAACTGCACAGGAGATATTATAGTGCACAAGTGTACGCGCAGACACAAGTGCACTCTCTATTCCTGTCAGTCTCATACTCCGGTGGGACGACTGCTCGACACGACCAGTGAGAGTTAAGGCACAGGACCGACGGCTTTACGTGCTCTCCGAAGCACGGGGGTGAAACACCGCCAACTTCCCAACTCCGGGCTGTTACTGAGACTTACTGTACAGAAAGATTCAATAACTAAACTTGGCCCGACCCGGGACTCGAACCCAGGACCTCCGAGTGTGCAGCCGTACATGCTAGCCACTACACCACCGAGGCAGTATCCAACATGATTACCACTTGTCTTACGGTAAAGGAAAACATCGCGAGGAAACCTAGCAAGTTTTCGAAAGACATGGAAAGTCCGCCCCGCACTTGGACAGAGCGATGGACTATGGCCTGATCCCCCTCGAATTAAAAATTAAGTTTTAAATATAAATGAAACTCTCACAGAATTCACAGCAATTGTTTGTTTCTCCTTAGTGCTGGGGTGAGTTTTGGTAACAGACACGATGCAAGCGCCGCACCCGCCTTCGTGACACATGGCCTTCGTGCCCGTCAGGCCCAGGTGGTCTCGGACGTAGTCATTGAGGGAGGTCGACGGAGACACATCATATCCGGCTATAAGATGACCAAAGAGATACGTCTATGACTTATTTCCTGGCGTAGACTGTTTTATTGTTCTTTTTTGTTTAATGTATTAAGACTTTATGTCTATTCATTAAAAAAGAATAATGTTTGGGACCAGACCGGTACTTTGCGGGGAGCGGGGAGGAACGCGCCGACGGTCTGCAGTTACAGTGCTGTGGGCTGTGGCGTCTCGGCCGCACTCGCCTGCACGAAGCCCACCGCTAACGGACCCCTCTAATTATCTTCTATTAATTCTATCTATTATTAACGACATTAAACCAGCAAAGTAGTCCACTTTTTATTTAACGTCTCAGTAGGACCCTTACAGATAATAAAAATCAGTTTATAATGGGCGATGACATCCTGTAGCATATCTTTACACAGCAAAATACCCGAATTGTGTATTCGTTGCCTTTTTAAAGTTAATCAAAAATAACTTCCTTTTGTCAAATTAAGTAACTAAATAATATATTCGCCAATGAAATATATTTAATTTGCTGCAATATTTAGCATAGAAAATATTAACGTCATCTTTGATCTTTAGGTAGACCAAAAAACTGAATTTAGATTTTTCTTGGTCACAAATCGATTAAAATAGATTTTAACAACTTCGTCAACTTATTTTCATCTCCTTACTTTGCTTTTTACGCAGTTGGGTATTTTATTTTTGTAAAAAAAAAATATTTGTTGCTTTTTATTTTTAGCATTTCTCATTCCAAATTACATTTAAACATTATTATAAATTGCATTGTTTTTGGAAGCCATTTATAATTATTTTTATTTGAATGCTTGATAGGTTATGAAGATTTGTTTTTGAAAATATAAGTAACATGGCGAAAACAATCGGCCATTTTAATTTTTATAATTTTGATATAGGTACCTTCTTTTTATAATTTTGATATAGGTATCAGAGTCATTCTTACGATAAGGACGAATCTAACGACACTCTCAAGCTAAAATCCATCAAGCCGTTTAGGTTACAGCGTGTGCCAAAGAAATGTACATACATACATACATACATAGTACATAAATACATACGAGTACATACACTCGAAAAACAACCCTCCTTCTGGCGCAGTCGGGAAAAAAATGTTTTGTTTTTGTGAAAAATTACGTTTATTCAAAAAGACACGTATATAGATAACATAAAAAGCAAAACCTATCTAAATACAAATATGATCCAAATCGTTAGAACTGAATTTTTTATTGACGCTCGACAAGATGACGCCATATCACCTGATGAGTGGAATCCAGGAATGAGATCTATCATCGGTTCCGGAACAAGATCTCGGTACCGATCAACCTCACCTTGCCGGGCCTACACAGGTGCTTTTACTTCGAGATACACGAAATAAAATATATAAGAATTATTCATTTAATTTATTATAGATTCATATTATTAAAACATTATACTTACACAAACTGATGTGATCTCCATTCACAGTAAATTTTATTTTCTTCATTTTTGCCACCACCTATGTATGCTCCTCCTATAAAAATAATGTACAATTTGAGTTCGATTTCTTATTATATTTTAAAACATTAATACGCTACGAATAGATCATAGAATGCATAAAAACCGTAGCAATTTAAACCTATAAGTACATATAGTAAAATTCTGAGTCGAATCTGTACATTAAATATTTTTTTTAAATCTCATTGAAATAGTCATTATTATCGATACAGAGGCCGAATCTATAGTTTTAGAATTTTTGTCTTACTGTCTGTCTGGGAACGCATCACGGAAAACCACTGGACAGATTTTCATAAAATTTGGTATTATGATAACTGGTTATCCGGGTCAAAATATAGAATGCGAGAAAATATCTCATCTCTGAGAAATCTATACTAAACGCTAAAACGTAACTAGGGACGAACTCGAGCGGAGCGATTGTGATTCACTAGTTATTCTATAAAATAATATGTTTTTATTTACGAGATCAGATTATACCTTAATTTTAAATTATTGTAAACATGAATAAAATTTGGATGTCATAAATAAATGAATGTTATTTAAAAATAGGGCCAAGTGTGAATAATACCTATTGACGTTTTCCGTTTCTTTAATTGTATAAGTTTATAATCGCTAACACTTAACACATCCGGACAGCGCCCGAATCGATTCTAATAACAATGCGTGAACGATGATTATGACGAATCGAAGTCAGATTTGTTGCTTTTACATATTGCGAGCGAGTAGCGACTCACCCTCACTTCGCCCAGGTTCATACCTGGGTGGGTTTTAAGGGTTAGTATTGAATAGACAGACTATATATATTTGATGAGTTTTAAATACCTTACTTGAGAAAGGATTGATTCCCCATACTTTCATCTCCCTTTACACCCCCTTAAGGGATGATTTATGGGATAAAAATTATTCTATGTCCTTCTCAGGTTCTCAAACTATTTTCATACCAAACACCTAGGTAAATCGGTTTAGCGTTTTTTTTGTTTATCCATTACAAACAAACATACACATTAAAAACATACAAAAAGACATTCTTTTCTCTCTTTATAATAGAACTATAGATATAGATCTTTTTGTTTGTTTTTAATAACGCATAGCACAGCATTTTATTAAAAGCTGTATACATTTATGAGAATTTTATGAATTTATGAGTTTATATTGAACAAGGAATTTTAAATAAAAAGACTTTATTTCCAAGTAGGTAATTATTCTGGTCTAAGACTTACATATTTTTATTGAATTATCAATATAGGACCACCCTTAACTTACCTGTAGTATAACCTATTGATTAATTAATTAAACAGAGAATCATGGCAAAAATTAACGACATTTCAAATAGGCTTCCCCGAATCTATTTATATTTGACGAACACAGATAATGCTAATCATTTATTTATTAAGATTCACCAGAGATAATTACAATATTATTGCTAAATGCATTACCTTTTAAGATGAATACCGTAATCAAATCATATATTATTTTATTACGCCGTTGCAATCATTTTAAAGTTATCGAGTATTAAAAAGCACCTAATCTACACTGGCGTGTAAAAAAATCGGACCACCTAGAGAAAATGGACAAACTTAAGATATGATATTTTTTTACTAATTTTGTTATTATATATGGGTAGCTGTTTACCTAGGTACCTAAATCAATAATCGTTGAATAATTTAAATAAAAATTATTGCTCGAAAATAGAGGAAAATCAAATTTAATGATTTTTCGCGAGTTTGGTATAAAAATGTAAGCCGCAAATTAATGGGAAAATTAAAAGATTTCGATTGGTTTTATGATTTTTAATAATGCGTAATACCGCCTCTATTTTTAATTACAGCTTTTAATCGGGTTTTCAGAGATTTGACACACTTTTTTAGATAATCTTGTGTAATAGACTCCCATTCTTCCAATAAGGCGCTTTTTAATTCTTTAATGTTGCTCGGGACTACTACGCGACTTCTAACTTTTCTTTTGAGATGGTCTCATACATGCTCTATCGGATTGTGGTCAGGGCTTCGCGCTGGCCAGACAATAGTAGACACTCCGACCTCTTGAAGATACTGCCTTACTGATGTAGCAGTGTGTGGGCGAGCATTATCTTGTAGAAGCAGAAAATCTTCTCCAATGAACCCAGTAAAAGGCATCACATAATCTTCTAAAACCTCCGTTATATACCTAGCGGTTGTAAGGGATCCATTTTCTATGAATATAAGCTCGGTTTTCGCTTCGTAACCGAATCCTGCCCAAAACATAACTGAGCCCCCTCCATATGACACTGTTTCCCGCATAGTGCATGGTGCATATCTTTCACCTGGTCGCCGGTAAACAAAATTACGGCCGTCGGCACCATGCAAACACATTCTGCTTTCGTCAGTAATAAGAACCTTCTTCTACTGCTCCAAATTCCAATTCACGTGATCTCAGGCAAAAAGTAATCTTACAATTCGATGTGCAGGGGTGAGTTTGGGGCCAGTTGCGGACTTGCGTGGCGTCAGGGAAGCGGCTCTAAGTCAGCGCCTTACTGTCTAGTCGCTAACATTAAGACTTCTCACTTCTCTCAGGAGATTTCGAACGTCAACCCCTGTGCGATGAAGATTTCTTAGAGCTGATGACACAATAAATCGATCATCACGCTCTGATGTAGCTCTTCGTCGGCCGGAACCATGTCGTCGTACAAAGCCAACAGTCTCTATGTAACGTTTGTACACTCTCTGGACCGTAGAACGGCTCACAGAAAAAGCTTGAGCCACTTGACGTTGACTTTGTCCAGTTTCAAGCAAAGTCACAATTCGAGACGATTCAGCCTCGGTCAGATCCATCTTGCAGTATTTCTAATAATCGCAGATCAAAGTAGAAGTGTCTTGTTCAATAATTGGAACTCAACTAAGCTTCTAAAATAACAAAAAACAGTATTTGTGGCTTCAATCCATATTATGCAAATATTCACTAATTACTGCTAATTGACTATAATTAAGCGCACACGTGCATTTCCAGGAGTTTCATGACTTTTTTGAAGGAAACAAAGGCGTCTAATCTGCTTAATTACCTTTGCAGTATTTTTTTTCACTAAACAATTGTCAAAAAAAATTATGCTTTAAATTAAGGGTGGCCCGATTTTTTTGCACGCCAGTGTATATAGAAATAGGCAAAGATATAAAGACAAAAATATAGTTTAGTACATATTGCTCCTCTGTCTGTTCTGTCAACTAGTTTTTTTTATTTAGTAGCTATTGTCGGTCTTTACTATATCAATAAGAAAATGATTACCTACGATCAATTTTCGGCCACTGGACGAACTGATAAATCATAAAAAGTACAAGTACACTGGCGTTCCTTGACCGCATTTTGCTTTATTATTGCAACTATAGAGCGTGGCACATTGAAGGATGAGTTCTATCTTGTACAGATCAATTATTAATTAAATAAAAATTACTTAACATTTTAGCTAAACAAATAATTTAAATTTAATTACATATTTTTAACCGACAAACCCAGTAAGATAGTAATTTTTTGTATAATATGTAGGTAAATAAATAATTGGTATTTTAATTTGTTTACTTAATATTATGTTGTATCGTTAAGTAAATTTTTTTGTGAAGCATCGAATTTACATTATACAGTATTTAAATATGACGCCTAAGAAAAACAGAACTTTTGTTAATGTAAACATATAGTTATCCCATAATAGCTAATATTCACGAAGCTATATACTTGCTAGGTACACATTAAATCAAACATTTTTAAGAAAAAGCAATATCATCATACCGATATAATGAGCTCTGGCCTCGCGGGAAAATAAAACAAGTAACATTTATTGTTTACGATTATTATTTCCATTTCGCGAACCACAATGCATCACATGACTCTGTGACGGTAATAACTTGTAGACTATACAATATACACGTATACAACCAAGTTTTTAATTATATTATTATTATAAAACGTATGCCACTATTGTTGTAGGTATTTTATCGAATAAAAAACTCAAGTTTTTATATGCTTCTTTTCCGGTTTTTCTTTTTATATCTATACTTGTAGCTTATACTCCGTCCGGTTGCATCGCTAGAAGGGACGATGTCTCCTTAATGCTTTTGAGCATAACTTATAATTTTCCTAGACAATCCCTCTTTTTTTGATGAAAACCGTATAAAAATCCATGCGGCGGTAGGTAGTAATCTCTGGAACTACTGAACCGATTTAGATAAAATTTGGTATGAAGGTAGTTAGAGTTTTTATGATGGAAATCATCCCTTAAAGGGGTTACCTCCTTTAAGGGATGATTTCTAAAGGGGGATGAAAGTTTGTATGGGGAATCATTTCTCAAGTAAAAGTTATGAAACTGAATCATACCTATGTACACATATACATAATATGTACTATAATATATAGTCTATTTATTCCATACTAAGTGTGAAAATGTACCTAGGGACGAACCCGAACGAAGCTTGACCTAAATAAGAGGAGTTCAAGATTATTGCAAATCTGGTATATATATGTATTATCGAGTTTTTTTTTGTTTCTTATCATTCGCTTGACGTATTTATTAGTATTTACATTTTTGACAGCAAAATTGCAGCGTTATTATAGCATAACTATTTTATTACTTCGCCTTTTGCTCACTATGTTGGCTTTTTCAATATGACATTGAAAACGCCAATCTTTTCAGCCATATGTCACGTATATAATAGTCTAAGATCCGAAGTTTGGATGTCTTTCACTGATCTGATTACTGAATTAAACGTATTATGCAATATTCATAATACACAGTAAAAAATATCTCAGGTGGAATATGGTCCTTATGTTTCATTTATTACATTTTTTATGATTTTTTAACAAAACCATGACTAAATTTTGTAAATATCAACTTAATTTTTTTTAATTATATTTTTAACTATTTAATAAACAAGATTAGACTATGATTGAATTTCGTTTCTTTCTGCAATTACCTTAAAATCAATTTTCTCAGAAAAAATCAATAAATTTATCTCCAAAATCGAT